CCCAAATGGCCTAAATTTTTATTAAAATAAAAAAGAATTTAACAAATATTTTTTTCCACAATTTTTATTTGGTTCAATTTTTTAATCGCTTCTACTTTTCTATAAGGGCGACATAAACAAATATATTCCCGCTAAACCCTATGATAACGATTTACATCTATGTGCTATAAAAAATCAATGATAAAACAAAATAATAAGTGGGAATCCAATTATTTTTCCCGCCAGTATATTATAGCGTTTATTATTTAAGAAACGCTAAAAAAAAGTCAGACTTAACTTAACTATAACAGAAACATAAAAACGCTTTATTGTACTACTATTAATACATATAGGGTATCTTGAAGCATTGGGCCTATCGAAGTTTGTGACTATCTATCTTTCAACCCACTTATGGGAAACTTGCAAGAGAAATCCTACCCACGGTAACAATGTCTTACCCCAAGACGAAAACGGTCAAAGCAAAGGAAGGAGTTCTAGCTTTTACGATTAAGAAAAGTCTTACACTTTGAGTATTGAAGAACTTTGTGATATTTTGGGACTTGAATGTCATGATAGGATCAAGTTCAAGTGGTAGTGAAGCTCATTATGATGAATGGTTTAAGATTGGGAACAATAGAATCAGCCCGAAATTTCTAAAGGATCGAAGATTACACATCCGGCGATTCGTTATGTCTACTACCTATTTTCTCAACTTATTTTTAGTAGAAACGAATATGGAGTGGTGAAACAAGAAGAGTTTTACGTGCTAATAACCCCTTTTGTGGAGAATCCCGAGAAGGTGAACCTTGCATCACTCTTCGCTCGCCGTATGGTACAAATCAAGCATGATGCAGCTAAAGAGTACCAAAAGGTGCATCGAGTGATTTTGGAGGAACAATCACGACCATACTACAAGCTTGTGGTGTTGATTTTAATCTTGAGATCCCTTTGATGGTTGAAAGCAAGCTTGACCTCCATGCCCTTCAAAGAAAGCATTTTCTATGCGGATGGTACGAGCAATCTACAAACTTTGG